AGAATAACTTTGCTAAGCCACATGAGGAGTAAGAGAAATTGTGATTGATTACTATAGCACAGTTCCTAACACTGAACAGATAGTCAACAAGAATTGAGTAATATGGAATGAAAAGGATGCTATTGGTCTAAGACCTAAGGATCAAATATTGTGATTCTCAGGCTGGAGAGATAGCTCAACTGTTAAAGGCTGGGCTCATGAAAAAAAATATAGAGGATTGTGATTCCCAGTGACTTTCATTAATATTTTTCTTGTACTTGTGTCTAGGTGTGTAACTTAGTATGAGAGTACTTTCCTAACATGCACAAAGCCCCGGGTTCAGTTACTAGCACCCAACAAAACAAGAAGAATGGTTTTGATTTGTGTGTGGTGCTTGTCTGTATTTCTATCACTGGGGATTCTGAAACAGAGGGATTGTGAGTGCAAAGCTAGCATGAGCTAGAGAGAGAGCTTGCTGCCAAGACTGACAATCTGAGTTCTATTCCTGGGACCTACCTGATAAAGTCCACATGTACGAGCATGCACACAGTCACACACACACACACACACACACCACCACCACCACCATACATACCATACACTAAAATTTAAAATTGAAGATGGGAGAAGTCATAGGTCCAAGGCACCTGTCTAATTGTGGTCTACGTATTTGTGTTTCTGTCCATAGAGTGATGCTGCTGTCACCTTTGGTCGGTAAAGCTTCTTATTGCAGTAGGTAGTGATTACTGCAGAGATTCATACATGATCAAAATGCTGAAGATAAGAGTCTTAAAGTTGGCGCTCCAGTCCTAAATGGAACATCTAAACCACCTACTTCAGGACTGCAGAACCATCCCAAAAGAAAGGGTAAGAATATGAGTTGAAGGAAGGGTTGGAGGTGATTGGCATGCTGTTTTCTGGGCATGGTTTACCATTCTTTTGAACTCCTGGCAGCTGTGATTACTTGCACAAGATTGGGCCCATGACCATCCTGTCATGGAGGGGGAAGTGACTCATGAGATCCCACCCTTTCTTGAGGAGATGTAGGTAGTTAATGATTGCTGAAAGAGAGACCTTTTCTTCAGTGGTGTAGCCACTGGTAAGTTGCTATACTCTTATAAATAAATCCCCCATTCATACTCCTGTAAGTAACTCTGGGAAGAGGGAGAGGACCAGTGGAGGTGGGAGAGGGACAAGATAGAGTAATGAGGGTGAATATGACCAAAACACATTAAATATATATTATATATATGAAAATGTCACAATGAAATCTACAATTAAGCATAATTACTGTATGTTAAGAAAGTTATAAATAATTTTGTTATGTGCATTAGTATTTTGCCTGCATTTATACCTGTGTGCCATGAGCATGCCTAGTGCCCTTGGAAGCCAGAGAGGGTGTTAAATCTCCTAGAACTGGAGTTACCAGTGGTTATAAGCTACCATGGGGGTTCTAGCTATCAAACCCAAGTCACCTGGAAGAGCAGCCAGTGCTCTTAACCACTGACCCATCTCTACACACACACACACACACACACACACACACACACACACACACACACACAGAGCCCTATAAGCTTGTAAAAGGTAGAGTCTTATATTTTAAATAATACATCTTCACTGAAGGGCTGGTAAACTGCTTTTACATTCCAGTTGGTGTATACCTTGTGTTCCTCTAGTCATAAACTCCTTCAGTCTTCAGTAAGGTCTCTCTTTGAAACAAAATATTTCAGTGCTGACACTTGGATTATTGAAGTTACTCAATGTGAATTGTCTTGATGTATTTATTATAAGTTTTCTGGGGCATCTATCCTCCAGAAAGAGAATGTTGGGAGACTTTCTGGGTTGGAGAAGGAAGGATGAAAGATGGTCCCTCACACATGGGACAAACAAGACAAGCAAGGTTCCTCTAACCACAAGTCATTTAGATGATTAAGACTACATGATTAAGGCTTAGTATCCAAAACATATCAAGAATTCTGGGACTCAATGATAGAATCCTTGCTCCAAATTCATGAGGACCTATGTTCGATCTCCAGCATTGCAAGAACTCTTACAAGTCAATAATAAATCACTAATTAAAAGTGGGCAAAGGGGCTGGAGGGATGGCTCAGAGGTTAAGAGTACTCACTGACTGCTCTTCCAGAGGTCCTGAGTTCAATTCCCAGCAACCACATGGTGGCTCACAACCATCTATCATGAGATCTGGTGCCCTCTCCTGGCGTATAGGCAAACATGCAGACAGAACAGTGTATATGTGATAAAAATAAGTAAATAATTTTTTAAAGTGGGCAAAGGATGTGAGTTGACTTTCTCCCAAAGAAGATACATAAGTGACCAATATGTATATGTAAAAATGATCAACATCATTAATTATCAGGAAAATACCAATCCAAACCACAATGAAACACGACCAGGATGGCTATAATAAAAAATGGGGGCTAGAGAGATAGCTAAGCTGTTAAGAGCACTTACTGCTCTTGCCAACGACCATAGTTTGATTCCCAGCATCCATATCAGGCAGTTCACAACTGCTGGTAACTCCAGCTGCAGAACAGGGCATCTGATGCACCCTTCTGCCTTCCACATGCATCCACATGCATTCATATACACATAGAAAAATAATAAAAATAAATGACAGAAAATAATAATTATTGGCAAGGTTGGAGAGAAATAACAATCTTGTACACTGCTGATAGGAATGTAAAATTATGTACTGCTTTGAAAATCTCGGTACCTTCTCAAAAGATTAAATATAGACTTGCACCTGATCTAACCATTTCACTACTAGGCATATAACTGAAAGAATTGAAAATAAACATCCTGAATATGACCTGCACACACATGAACATTGTAACGTGTATGTGAATGTCCACTGCAGCATTATCTATAATAGCCAAAAAGTGGAAACAAGGAAAATAACAACCAGTAATGCTCAGATAAACAAAAACGCTATATCTGTACAATGAAATACTATTCAACTATCAAAAGGAATTACCTTCTATAATATGGAAAGGAGGCAGGTAATGACTAATGATAGGCAAGAGATTTCCTTTTGAGATGATAAATATGTTCTGGAATTAGATAATGATATTGGCTGCATAACTTTGACTAAACTATTACCAAATTGACTTTTTTTCTGAGACAGGGGTCTCACTGTTTACATTTGGTTCTCGTGAAACTCAGCAAGGTCTGCCTGCCTTTGCCTTTTGAGTATTGGGATTGAAGACCTACAACCATGGCTGGATATTAATACACTTTCAAAAATGAATTATGTATGTTATTTGAATTTAATCTTTTTAAATTATTTATTCTCTCCCTCCCTCTCTGTCTCTGTCTCTGTCTCTCTCTCTCTCTCTCTGTGGGGGGGGGGGCGCACACCCACACACCACAAGTCAGATGACAACTTGAGAGAGTTATACTGTTCCTACCTTCCATCATGTGGGTCCTGGAGTTGAAATTTAGGTCATCAGGCTTGGTGGCAAGCACTTTTACACACTGAGTTCCTTCAGTGCCCAAGTTGAATTCTAAGAATTTGAATTGTATCTTGTTTAATAAAGAAGCTTCAGCCAGTCACCTTGAAACATGCTTGTAATCTCAGAACACCGGAAGTAAAGGGAAGGGGGTTATGAGTTCAAGGCTACCCTGTACTAGATAATGAAACCCTGCATTAGAAAACAAGAAAGCAGGGGCTAGAGAGATGGCTCAGAGGTTAAGAGTACTGACTGTTCTTCCAGAGGTCCTGAGTTCAATTCCCAGGAACCACATGGTGGCTCACAGCCATCTGTAATGAGATATTGTGCCCTCTTCTGGCGTGCAAGCATATATGGAGGCAGAATGTTGTATACATAATAAAATAAATAAAAAAACAAAACAAGAAAGCAATGAAAGAAGGAAAGAGCGAGGGAAGGAAGGAAGGAAGGAAAAAAGAAACAAACAGAGAAAGAAAGAAAGAGGTGGAGAGATAGCTGAGCAGTTTGAGAGCACTGGCTGCTCTTCTGGAGGACTCTGATTCTATTTGACCCACATAGCAACTCACAACCTTCTGTAATGCCAATTGCAGAGGATCCAAAGCCGCCTTCTGGACTCTGTGGATACCAGGCACGACATATTTGCAGGCAAAACACTTGTACACATAAAATGAAAATATTAAAATTTTAAAAACTAAAGAAACAAAAAGAAATGGGGCTGGAGGATAGCTCAGTCATAGAATGCTTGTCTAGTATGTGCAACATCCTGTGTTTAATCCCCACTAGAGCGGCGAAAAAAAGGTTCTCCTTCATTAGGTACTCATTCTGAATACACAAATAAAATCAAAATATTTACAGGTACACCTAAAATCTGGGTTTTGTGTGTGTGTGTGTGTGTGTGTGTGTATGTGTAATGTGTAGTTCTTTATTATGTCAGGTTTCTCATAAATTCTTGAATATTTATGGTCCAGAGAGATGGCTCAGTGAAAGTGCTTAAGATCTGAGCTTCATCTTTTGATAGTCACAAAATGGAAAGAAAGAACAGAATCCGAAAAGTTGTCCTTTGACCTCAACACACACACACACACACACACACACATACACTAGCGTGCTAATAAATAAAAACAAGACAAATTTTGAAATAAAAATAATTTAAATAATACTGAGGGTGTCAGTAACTAAAGCTGTCCCAACTAACTGCGCAGCCAGGGGAGCTTCTGTCAACTCAGCAGCCTCCCCCTGCATCTCAGCGAGATGGGACGTTCCGGAAGTTAATCAGGTCGGCACCAACACGTGACCAGGGCGGAGACAGAGTCCTGCACGTGCGTCTGTGACGCCAAACGCCGACTGCAGCGAGACTTCGGGCTTTATTTTTTTTTTTTTGAGACATGATCTCATTAAGTTACTCAGACCGAACTTGAATTTGAATTCATAATGTAACTTAGACTGAACTTGCCGGTGATCCTGCATTACAGGTGCGCACTACCACTCTAGGCTCACAGGATATTCTTCAGTGATTCTAAGCGATGAAATTTTTCTTCATTCCTTCAGATTGTCAGTTAGAGAAATTGCCCATGAGGCCTCGGGACCGGTCTCGGGTGATTGATGCTGCCAAACATGCGCACAAATTTTGCAATACAGAAGATGAGGAGACTACTTATCTTCGCAGGTAAGTGCTTGATGCGCTGTCTAGTTCCCTGCTGTGTTGAGGATTGTTCCTGAAGAACGTAAATTTTTCTATGTAGTGTTGAGTAGCTCATAAAGTTAACTCTGATAATTTGACATTGGTGCCAGTATTCTAACTTATGTTAATGCAGCAAATTCTTTATTATATTTTGTTGAAATGGTTCTGAAATTTGATTCTCTTGGCATTTGATAGCTGTGATTTTTCCAATTACAGGTTTCGTACAACCTGCAACTTTTGTTGTTGTTATCGGTATATTTGCAAGGCTGGGGAAGGAACCAAGTAGTCTTGCGGGGTGAGCACTCTCCCACACAGTTACAGCCCCAGTCTATAGCCTTATGCATGCCTTGTGCCAGGTACTGAGGTACCAAATCTGTGAATGAATAAGGCAGTTGGGAGGAAACGGGCTTTTTTTCTTTTCTTCTTTTTTCTTTTTGTTGTTGTTTTTTTGTTTGTTTGTTTGTTTTTTTCGAGACAGGGTTTCTCTGTAGCTTTGGAGCCTGTCCTGGAACTCAATCTGTAGACCAGGCTGGCCTTGAACGCACAGAGATCCTCCTACCTCTGCCTCCCCAGTGCTGGGATTAAAGGCGTGTGCCATCAACGCCTGGCTAAAGGGCTTCTTATGTGATAGAAAGAAATGCTGGTGCTGTGGACAAAGGCTATAGGAAAAGAGGTGGAAGAGGGTTATTTTTACCGCACTGTGGTCAGAAAAGGCTCTAAAAGAAGTGCAATTTATGCTTGAGTTGAACTAGAGCTTTGCCAGTTCTTGGGGGAGAACAAAAGAACAGTCCAGGTTGAGGGAATCTGGAAGCCTTAAGAGCATCAAATATGATGTGCTTGGGAAATTTCAATAGCCTTTTGTGGTCAGAGCATGGATTACTGTTTTACAGAAAAGACTTCATGTATACTGTGGTGGGGATAGTGAAATGCTTTATCTGAGAGCAGTGAAAAGCTATATATTTGTGTTTATGAACATGCTTGTGGAGGCCAGAGTCTACACTTGAGTGCCTACTTTTTTTTTTTAAAGAAAGTGTCTCTTACTGGCCTAGAACTTGCTAGGTAGTCTAGGTTGGCTGGCCAGTGAGCCCCATGGAACTGCCTGACCACCTCTCCAGTGCTGGCATTACAAGGGCACCACCATGCTTAGCCTGTAGCTAGGTTCCAGGGACTCAAACTCAAGTCCTCCTGCTTGCTTGCAAGGCAGGTGCTTTATGGACTGTAATCTGTCTCCTCAGCCTGATTTTCGTACATAAAGATTTATTTTCATTTCATAGAGAGAGTTGGCATGTGTATATGTTGGTGAGTGCAGGTAGAGATGGGGGGAAGATTTTTGATTCCCTGGAGCTGAAGTTTCAGGTGATTGTCAGCCACCTAACATTGGCCTTGGGACCCAAACTTAGGTCTTATGTAAGAGCAACAAACTCTTAATCATTGAGCCATCTCTAGCCCCCTTATTTCCATTTTATAAGCAGTGAGTGGTGTAATTAGATATGCGTGTTTTTTTAATTGAGGAATCCTTGGTGTATGTGTGTAATTTAAAAAGGGTGGATAAAGCCGGGTGTTGGTGGCGCACGCCTTTAATCCCAGCACTTGGGAGGCAGAGGCAGGGGGATCTCTGTGAGTTCAAGGTCAGCCTAGTCTCCAGAGCGAGTGCCAGGAAGAGAAACCCTGTCTCGAAAAACCAAAAAAAAAAAAAAAGGGGGGGTGGATAAAGTTACATAGAATGAGTGCAGAACAAGGGATAAAGCTTATAACTCAGCTGGTAAGAGTACTTGAAATCCTTGGTACTGCACATAGCAGGGATGGTAGTACAAACCTGTAATCCCAGCTCTGGGTTGATAGAGGCAGGAGGATTCAAAGTTTAAGGTCATCCTCAGCATGTGCGCTCTCTCTCTCTCTCTCTCTCTCTCTCTCTCTCTCTCTC